GGGGGGGGGGGAACTAAATTATGGTAAGAATGGTAAATGTATCTCGCTTAGAATTTTAAAATCTCAGAGACGTGTCATACTAGTAAGTGATTTCAGTTTATAATTCTAAAATCTTAAAAGATAAATTAATAATTCATATACAAAAAATTATTTAAGGTCTTTTATTTATACATTATAAATATCACACCTAAACATATTAATCATGTACCACTTAATTACCATTAGAAATTATATATAAGAATAAAATGAATGGAAATGGTATATTTAAATTATTATGATAATGTTTGATAACTAGTGTCTTGAGATAAAATTAGAGGTTTTGGCTAATTATAACCTCTAATTTATTGTTTAGTAACTAGCTATTTGAAATAGTTTTTAAATCCAAAATACTAATTTAAAACATCTCTATATGAATGAGAGGTTTCGAAATAAAATAGAAATGTGTGTTTGTTCACTTGACCCCTCACATAACTAAACGACTCTTGTAAGATCCCTCTTATTGGTCAAAAGCCAAAGACTCGGATTGGCAATATTTCACTCGTGGCCGTCGATAGTATCGTAATCAACGGCCCAGAGCTCACGACATTTTTCATCACAACACAATCATCACTCCCTTAAAACCCACAGCATCAGCCCCTTCTGTTTCTCATCTCCTCAAACAATTATCAGTTAATTTGTAGCAATCAGAAGATAGAAGGTGAAAATGGACACCAGCGGGAAGGTGAAGAAGGGAGCCGGCGGCAGAAAGGGTGGCGGTCCGAAGAAGAAACCGGTTACTCGATCCGTGAAAGCTGGCCTGCAATTTCCGGTCGGTAGGATCGGCCGGTACCTGAAGAAGGGACGGTACGCGCAGCGGGTGGGCAGCGGCGCTCCGGTTTACATGGCCGCCGTGCTGGAGTACCTTGCGGCTGAGGTGTGTTATGGGCTCCCCTTGTAATTATTTTCCGATTAGTGATTATTTTTACTCGATTATTTGGTTATCGTTATGGTTTTGTGCATTTTGATGGATTAATTTGACCCTTTATGGCTTTGATCTGCGGGGCATGAAAATCCCTAGAAAAAAAATTAGGGCTTTTGTTCATTGGGGTGTATAATTTGTGCAAATCATAAATTTGCTGAATCCTTTTTTTTTTTTTTTGTATTTATATGGGAATTTTCCCTTAGGTTTTGGAATTGGCTGGTAATGCTGCAAGAGACAACAAGAAGAATAGGATCAATCCAAGGCATGTTCTTCTTGCTGTGAGGAATGATGAGGAGCTCGGGAAGCTTCTTGCTGGTGTGACAATTGCACATGGTGGAGTTATTCCGAACATAAACCCGGTTCTTTTGCCCAAGAAATCCGAGAAAGTAGCCGAGAAGGCACCTAAATCACCGGCTAAGGCCACCAAGTCTCCCAAGAAGGCATAATTTAGTGTTGTTTATTGTTGGATGGTTGGATTGAATGACTGTTATTTTAGGGGCTGCTGTGTTATTCCGGATATGTTGGGTGGGTTGTGTTGTTTATAAAACTTGAACTTGTTGAAGACATTGCTGCACTTATTGGTAGATTATGAAATATATTTGGATTATTGTGGTGTAAATGCTTGTTAGTTTTGATGTGGAAACTGGAACTTTTCATACACTCACTTGACAGGGCCAAGGAGTGTTGTAGGATGGGTTGCAAAGAACATGCAATAAAGGCAGGAAAACGAGAGATGGGCATTTAAAGAATATATTCGCAATTGGGTTGCTTCTCGATTACCAGAAATGGACCAGCAACCGGATACTGCAAGTTTCGACAAAGTACTCCAGAACTTTTAGGCGGAAAAAAGGTTATGCGTTTTAGTATTGGTAAATGATAGTTTTGGCTTCAGATTCCATCTTATCAAATTGGAATTGGGAGGACGAAATTAGTGAAATGGTGTTCCGGCTTGTTAAGATTCGAAAAGATAATTTCATATAATTTTATAGTTCGGCTCAAATGTTGATCTTATCAAAATTTATAGTGAAATGGTGTTCCATCTTATCAAAAAATGATTGAGCAAATCTTCATTAAATGCAAGTTGATCTTATGCATTTGTATAATACTATTATTAAGTCAGGCTGAGCCAATTTCTAGCTCGAACACCAACAAAAAGTAACAATTGAG